CACACAAGGTCTCATCTTTCTCAGGAAACATTAGTTCTTGAGGGAGAAAACACAAGCCGAACAAAAAAAATAAATGAACACTTTGGGCAGGGCTCTGTGAAGAAAATAAAATGGGGCCACGTTATAGAGTGACTGATAGCCAGAGCAGGCAAGGGAGTAGGCAAGGGAGGCCTTTCGGGGGAGGCCTCCCTTGCCTACTTCTTTTTCAGGGTGTGCCCAAGTCTGGATTTTTGTGCAAAATATCCAGATTTTTAATGCTGGCCTTTTTTTCTTTTTTTTTCTTTTTTTAAGAAACATGCTGTAGGCCCAACAAAACGTGTGTTAATTGATCTTCAGGGCTTTGTCTCACTGCAGAATGCTCTGTTGTCCTAGGCCACCAGGCCTTTGATTATAGAATATCTAGAGCAGTGGTCCTCAACCTTTTTGGACCAAGGACTGGTGCTCCTGTGAGAATCTAATGCCTGATGATCTGAGGTGGAGCTGAGGCCATGATACTAGCGCTAGGTAGAGACTGCAAACACAGATGAAGCTTCGCTTGGTCACTTGCCTGCCACTTACCTCCTGCTCCTAACAGGCCACAGACCCGTACCGGTCCACAGCCCTGGGGTTGGGGACCCCTGATCTAGACACTGTCTTTTGTGGTAGGTATCTGTGTTATGAGACAGGGCTTCATGCACTGTGATAAGTCTTCTGGAAAGACAGAAAAGCAGAATCTTCACTGATACCAGGAAAGGCATAGTCGTAGAGGTGGCTTTTTTGCTGGTTGGGTGGCGGAAGCAGCATGACAAGCACGTGGGAGAATAATCAAAAAATGAATGACTGCAAGTGAGTTCTTGGAATATGTGGTGTGCGTAAGGAAACAGTAGAGGATAAGCACTGAGACGTGGCGAGTTGGAGCCACATTGTGCGGAGGCTTCACACCAGGCTCAGGTGTTCTGTGCAATGTAGGGAGGGAACTGCTGAGGGTTTTCAGGCGGGGTGATCACACATTAATCATGGATTTTAAGAAAATTCAACTGTGGTGATGGGCAAGGAAGATTGGAGTCAGGGAGACCAATCAGAAGGGAACTGCAGCCATCCATCCGGGCGTGAGATGATGGGGGGTGGTGGGACTTGGATAGGAAGTGACCATTGTGTAAGTTGCCAGACATGATGAGACATGGCCTCTGGAGGCAGAGCAGGGGTGGAATTCTAAGATTCCCATCAAGGTTTGGATCCTGGGGCCTTGGGAGGGTTCAGAAGCCAGTAGGAAGAGCTGTTTTGGGGAGATGATGAAAAATTTGTTTTAAATGGGCTGAAATTGAGGTGGATGAAGGGGGTGGGGTTCTTCCATTAGGAAATGGGAAGCAGATACTCAGGAGAAAGTCAAAACTGGGAATGGAGATGGAGGAGTAGTTCTTGTTGATGGGGTGAAATAGGAGGAAAAGATGGAGCCAGGAGACCAGATCAGGTGAGGGAATGGGAGGTGAGCTTTTCAAGGAACGGTTAATGGATGATGGAGACAGTGCTGCAGAAGACAGCAAGGATGACAAGGGCATGAAAAGTGTCGTGGGATCTGGCAATTAGGAGGTCGGCCTTTGACAGAGCAGTCAGACGAGGGGGTCTAAAGCTAGATAAACCAGAAAGAAGTCATGAGTGGGTGAAGAGCAAGTAGAGGCAGCTGTTCTCTTCACAGAAGGTTGAATGAACCTTTCAGTGAGCTGATTTACTTTGTGGATTTGCCTGTTCTGGATGTTTCATGTAAATGGAATCATACAGTATGTGGCATAATGTGTCCAGGTCCACCTATGTTGCTGCAGTGTTCCCTTGTACGGATACACTACATTTTGTTTATCCATTCATCAGTTGGTAGACATTTAAGTTGTTTCCACTTTTTGGGCTATTATAAATGAAGCTGCCATGCACTTTTGTGTGCAAGTTTTTGTGTAAACATGTTTTCATTTCTCTTGGGTAGATCCTCTATCTACATTTGGCTGTTTGTATTTTCCTAGGGCTTATAATAGCCCCATTTATTCACTTGCTTACTTTTCATGTTCCCATAACTAATTCAGCCATAAATCTTGTGACAGAAACTCTCAGTATGGTGGTAAATTCCTGTTATCGCCTTTGTTGATGTCTTTCCTGGAGCCCTCCCTTATTTTGCCCCATCTGATGCTTGTCCAGGTCTGCTGTCCTGCACTTATCCAGGGGATACCCTTCACCATCACCCTGGGGGCGATATTGAAGCCTCTGTTCCTTCTTATTTTTTTCACTCCCTTGTTTTGATGGAACACATCCTTTGCTAGCTTCATAAGAAAGGGTACATTGG